GCTCTGTCCTGTACCAGGGCGCACAGGAGCAAGGGCCAGCGATCGCCTTGGTCTGGATCCTCTATGGCGCTGCTGTGGCGCGATCTCCGGGTTCGCGAGGCGTTTTTCTGCGTCGTTCGGGAATCCTGGTAAAATATCCCCTGCCTCTGATCCTCGCTGATCGCCCAGTCCCGGCACCCACGATTCCGCGGTTACTGCATGAGGAGAATGCCGTCGAAGCATACACAACTTGCAAGGGAAGAGCTGGCGGCAATGGTGCGAAAGTAGTGTCACTGATATGTGCATGATTTTTGCTCGCGCGTGCCCTAACCGAGAACACGTCCGTCGGCATGTGTGTACCGCTCCGATATTTCAGGAACGAGTATAGCCTAACTTGTGCGTGGGGCAGGACCAGCAGTGGTGGGTTTGGAGGTATTTTCGTTTCTGGGTGTTTCGTCTCACTTTTATCCATCAATGACGAGGTGATGGCGAGGCTGTCTTGTTCGGAAGCGAAACCGAGAAGGTGCGGTGCTTGTGTTTCGGTTGCAGGACAACTGCTGCTACAGCAGTTTTTGGCGGGAAAAAAAGCCAACCGTCAGCCTGTTCACACATGATTTTGCGGTTTTTTCCTTCGTGTAGGGAAGGACTGTGCCTACGTTTGCCGCGTATTGCCAAGGGAAAACTACACGACACACCTGATGAGACAAATCACCCTCCATCAGAAAGTTTTTTTGCGGAATTTCAATATTTTCGCTCTGTCAACTGCGACTGTTTTTTCCCGTCACCTGCAGGAGCGCGAGCCAAGCCAAATGCACCAGGTGTCTGTCAATCAGGACTATGGTCTCCGGGCCTGTCGGCACCACCAGGGCAATCTCGAGTCTTATCTCGCCCTATCCGATGTGTTGAGCCCTACCACAAACATCATCGGTGAGTGCGTATGTAGTTCACACGAAGACCCACACATCTGATTTACAGTAGTAGTCTACAGACAAGTGGGTGACGTGTGTCTGTCTCGAACGACGGATGAATGTTCTCGAAGTCGGCTGTAGAAATCTCGAGCCTAGACTAATCTCGCCCTATCCGATATGTGCAGCCCTGCCACAAACAAACACGATGTTGTGTAGTTCACACGAAGACCCAGATGTAATCAGAACTACGAAGATGACATGATGACATGCAATGTTTGTGTGTGTCACCCGAATGTTCTCGACGTCGGTTGCCGGTATCGTTTCCACGTTATTACACCTTTTCGTATTTTCGCTTGATATATATCGGCCACTGGGTCAGACAGGAGGGGGGCGACACAGATTGTTTTTTTCTGCCTTTTCCGGCAATGATGACGAGTTATGTCTTGCCCGTGGTCAAGGAAATGGGGATCGATGATCGTCTCTTGTCGGATTGCCCGGCGCGCAGGTGTCGAAACGTTATGCCCACCGGACACTGCTGCCCAACGAATATCGCACGAAAATGTGGCAAACACGGTCGAGGAGCATGTCCCAGCACGCGGGAACTCAATAATCTCCCCGTCGTCCATTGCTGGTGTTGGCGACGAAATCGTTGCGGAGGGACAAGGTCAGGAAGAACGAACTTTAGTCTTGTCAGTTTCACGCGGCGGCCCTCAAGCGAGAATGGTGCAGGTACCTCACGGCATCAAGCTAGGGCCACGTCGAGAAACGCCGCCACCGGCTTCACCGCGTGTTGGCACCGGTTCGGACACCTTGTCATTGGCACAATTCCAGCCTCACGGCCAGGGCGAATCAACGCCCAAAATAAACCCGATGGAGGACACGCCAGATCCTTGCGCGGCTGGAATGCTGTCGAAAGCACCGCCGAGAGAAGCGGGAGCGACTCCCAAGTCGATTTCTGTTCCTCGTATGCGTGCCACGAGCCCTGATCCTGTGTCGACATCTACTGCTGTTGTTCCGATTCCTGCTGTAGAGGGAGGGGTGAGCGCTGTTGCTGTCTCTGCTTCTTGGCTTTCAGGACCTTGTTTTTCCCCGTCGTCACCTTTCTGCGAAAAGTCTTCGCAATCTGTTGGCTACCGAATAGAGGCGACTACGCAGGGGGCGCAAAGCAGTGCGCGTGCCCGGCGTAGTGGCCTGGGTGACGACGATAGTGGAGAGATCATGCACATGCACATCCATGGTGTTGGGGCAGGGGAGGTGGATAAGGAGAATCGCCGCTATACCAACGGTCAAGATCGGACGCCCACAACGGACATTCTTCGCCGCCTGCTGTACGAGAACACCCCTGCATCGCACGCCATGGACTCCGCCGTCAAGAATGAGACGGGGGCCGGCGAGCAGGGTAACAACGGCATTAACAGTTCCAGGCGAAGAAGCCGCCAAGGCCGGCGCTTGTTCGCTGAGGGTTCTACGGTGCTTCGCGCTTTCCCCACGGCTAGCGAAAACGTCGCGGAGGTGCGCCGAGGTCCCTATTCTCTATTTTCCGACTCGGTTTTCAGGCAAGGGTAGCAGCTGTGGCACACGGAGCTGTAGCCGCGGAATGGTTGCCAACGAGAAAAGCAGCACTGACGAAAAGTCAGCGAAGACGAAAGGCGCCTCGAAGCCAGCAGTGGGGAAAGTCAAAAGCAAAGATGAGATTTGGGGTCAACGGCGGGATCGGCGTTCGACAGGCGAGGTTGTTTTGGCGAGAGAGACTGCAGCTGGCGCGCAGAGAGTGTACACAGGAACGCCGATCGACAATGCGCCCCTGGATCTATTGGCAAGACAGACAGCCCGCCAGGTTGGGGTATTAGTTAGGGGCATACTTTCGAGGTTGGTCCTGCTATGGGTGCCGCACTGCATGCCGATGTGGAGAGTGCCGGCGACCTTCTCTTAAAGGAGGGGGCTGCTACATGAACAACTGGCGCGGGCAACAGGTTCGCAATGGACTGCACAGAAAGAAGCGCCTGGGCAACTGGGCTACGCATATTGAAACTTTTTCGCGGAATTGATGCCAAACGACTTTGAACGGGTTGCTCGTGACGGTTTCTCGTGAATCTGAGCCAGTGAGCAGAAGGGTCAACATGAAACGGACGCATCGCTGGGTGATGATGAAGTTTGGGCGCGTCCCTAATTCAAGGTGGCCTGCAGAATACAAGAGAGCATGCGGTATCGTGTCAATTATGGAAGACACCGTGGGCCTCGTCGTACTTTGTGGTGTCTCAAAATAGAGCAGGACGGTGCTGGTCCTTCACGCAACGGGGGTCTATGAGCGGTAAGCTGACACCGGCACCAAACTTGGTTTGAATACGCTGAGAACGAAACGCTGAGTATACTTCCCCCGCGCGCCCGACGTCCACTATTATGTACGGCGGGCCACCAACATGCATCGGTTCCCTGTAACCAGGCCCCGTGGACTCGCGTTCTGTGCCACAACATGATATATAATGCACGCTACCGGTAGGCTCAAGCAAACTTTTGGTTCGAGGATACATGTAGGGCTTGAGGGTACATGTAGAGAAGAGGAGGAACCGCAGAATCGTTCTCGAAAAAAAAAAAAATTCGCAGTAATCTTGCAAACAGAACGTACGTAGGCCCCAAGCAACCCAAGAATCAAGAAAAGGAATGGAGCACAGATGTGCGTTCTTGCTGATTCGAAAATGCCACTGACATGCACACACATGAAACGCGGGCCGCTACAGCCCTACATGAGCTAGATAGAAAATGCATAAGTCTGAAATGTCGGCATCTAGGAGGGACAGACTGCCCGCCCCCTTGTGCATTTGTCTGAATTGCCGGCATCTAGAAGGGAAAGATTGCCTGCCCCCTTGTGCACACATCAAAAATGCCGGGATGATCTCGTTCGTTCCAACTCAAACGGCATTGATCGCCGCGTGCACGAAACCGCAGTCAACACGCCGTTACTCGAATGGAGAATGCAGATCACTGATTCTGTACAATACACGATAGCACAGGACGACGTGCCCTCCCGCCCTGATGCGCCTCATCTGGAAATCCCTCTCCAAAAAAACATCTTCCTGTCTGGCGAAGGACAACATTTACAGAAAAAAAAGTATTGAGTGAGCTCTCCCGTTGTGGGCAAAACAGCTGCTAGTGAGGAGCACACCACAACACGTACATCATCGTCAAGGAGGGAACGTCTGCGCAACAAGCCCACTCGATTCTTTCCACCTCTCTACGCGCGCGCACGCCGTCAGGCGTGACACAGAGGACTACCTGGCGTAGGGTAGCAGCGAAGTGCTTCCCACAGGTTTCATAACACACCCTCTCGCCTCTCACCGCCCAGGTGTGAACAACGTACACGTATTATTCCAGTTTACTGAGCGCACGACGCAAGTCGACTCCTCCAAGACACTTGCGCCTTCGGTCTCCTGTTCGGGCCAACCAGGGACAGAACCTCCGAGGCATCCAAAAGATGAAGGAAACGGGGGAAGCTACCATTATAGCCGTTGTCCCAAAAGATGTTGTCTTTTCAGCGCCCCGCCCGATCACTCAGGTATTACAACAGGTACGTACCGGGCTCTCACCACAGCAACCCCTTCATATTCGACAGAGACAAAAGCGGGGGTACTATACACACGCGGCCGTGACAGCTACAACCCCACAAGCCAGAAGGAAACCATCCGGGCATAGACAAAGACACGAACATGCCGTGTACACAACGCAACGCCAGCCGTCTCTCCCAGCTCGACACCTACCACTCTCATGGTAGTGGGTTCCACTCGTGGCCCACCACGCGGGCCCCACGACCCCAAGCAAAGCGCGTATTTACCTCGGTGCTAAGGCGCTGCTCTTGCGAATACAGAAGCCGACTACGCGACAAGCGTCTGCACGGCGCTACTGCTGGGTATGGAGTAGGAGAGGGGGTCTCTCGCCGAAATATAGAAAAAACCACCCACAGTCACATCCCCATTAAAGACCTGTTGACATCAACACGCGTGAATTCAAAAGAGTGATGGCAACGACACCCGAACACACAGCACCTCATCGAAACCCCTTCTCGACAGGGGGNGGGGGGGGGGGGGGGGGGGGGGGGGGGGGGGGGGGGGGGGGGGGGGGGGGGGGGGGGGGGGCAAGCAAAATGTCAAGTGCGTACGCAGACATGACCTTGCAGCACATTCACACCCATCTGGTTGGACAACAAAACAACCACACGGACAACCACAAACACTACCGTCAGCCGCCCGTCGGTGAGAGACGTTCCACGAGCTACCTCGTAGAATCGCAACACGTAAATTTCCGGCTCTAGCCTGCTCCAAAACGTGTTCGCAAGTTACTACACCGTTGGGGGGGGCAGGGGTAGAAACAAAGAGCCAGCCAGCGTTGTGTCTACACCTGCAACACAAACACCGCTTCTCTATCGTGAGCGCTGCAGCTATTGAGGCGGCGGGATTGGGGGGTGGGGTGGGGGATGTGGAGCACACTCGACATTCCCGTTCCTCGTCAGGTCCTTCTCCTGCGACACCCCTCGACCGAAAAAAGGGAAGAACATGGAACCCCAGAACAAAAAACAAAAAAAGATATCTAAACAAGTGGGGAAAATATCGAATACACGGCCGCAACAAAACTTTCCACACGGGAAACAGCTATGGACACCAACACCTACGGCGACAAAAGGATCAAGAGATCGTGCAACAACCCCCCGATTTTCGAGGCGGGGGAACACCCTCCTTGGAATAATATAGCCCTTGGTGATAATCCGTCTAATGAAACAGAGGCGGAGGAAGAACCACACGCACAAGCACGAGCACACAAGGCAACACCGACGCAGGGGTTAGCAGAGAAAACGCGGGGGGAGGGAGGTAGCAGGGAGGCTAAAGGCTTAGAGGGCGAAGCCAGAGGACTTTTCGAAGCTCTGCAAGTGCTTAGTTCATACCACAGGCTAGCTGTGACGTCACGCGAAGAGGCCAACGCCTACCGCGCTCCGCCCAAAAGTGGCGGGTCGGAGGTGGGTAAGCATAGGAAACACATGCACAAGCAAGTCCGGCCAATGAATCGAGTAGTGGCTCCAGTCTGTACACACGCACACGGATCTCTGTGTACATACATCCGGGTGAAAGGCCAAACAAGACCAGCATTATGGAAAGCGTTCGGGACATGGCAGGGCGGGACGCTCTCCTCCGTCAGCGCAGGAGAAGCAACAACACACGGTACCGATTAACGGCAACGCAAGTGTCAATCGCTGTGTATGGCAGCCGACTTTCTACCATTGCTGCACCATTTCAATACGCTTGCACTGCAGACCTGAGTTCTCTGCGAACAGCACAGGAACCGGCGAAACCATGCCCCCTTGACGCATACGAGCCCACACAGAAATCGCCACCTCCATTCCAAAAAAAGCAACGGTTTCGAAACGGGTGTTTCCAATTTTCGAGCGCTTGAGCGTCTGATTTCAAGATTCGGTGCCCCAGCCTCGGTCAGATACCCCAACCAGCGAACTACACCTCTTACGACGGGTGACACTGAATGTCGACATCCAATGTTGTGGAGGACAAAGAGGGGCCAATGTTGCAGACAAGAAACTCGGATGCGCAGAGATCGGCATGGCGCACGATTGTGTTCCAAGAGAGGTTGCGCTAAGACTAACGGGTTGATGGGCGAGTGGGAACTCACATCGAAGAGGGCATCGCCGTGTTCGTCCGCAAAGGATATCCGTTTCCGCCGCCTGGCTCGCGCACGCCTGTGATGGCGCGAGGGGGGCATAAAAGGGTCGGAGGAAGGGGGGGGTCAGAAGCAACAGAAACAGAACAAAACAGAAAGGTAGGTGGCTTGCAGGTCGCTGTTTTGAGAAATTGGTATGCCCCCCTTATCACGATTTGGTGTTTCAAGTATGGTGCATCCATGGGCGTCGTGCGCGATGGCCACAACATCCAGGGTGAGGATTTCACCTCAGACCGACGCGCTTATGCTTCTTGTTGGGCAACCGCAAGAAGGAAGAAGGCCGGTGAACACTTGAGTCAAAATTGGAGGGACAAAATACAAACAAAAACACAATCGTACCATATCCCACACCGCCGAACACGTCACCTCCTTGCCTGCTGGCAGACACTGGCAAAATGCAAAATTTCAGAAGGGAAATTTCGATTGAAACCCGCCCGGGCCTGCCGTTTGAAAATACTTCCTGTAAGCTCCAAGGCGACAGCCACTTTGTGGTGGTAGCGAGGGGTTTGGTGGTCGGAGTGGTGGGGACAAAAACACATCCACAGCAGTCCCAAGGAAGGTAAAACAGCCCAAAGGAATACGCAAAAACAACACTGCAAGTGAAGCACAAAGAATTTTCCGGACGTTCGCATGACCGTTCGATCGCCAGGCGCCGGAGTGGTGACGGGCGCCAATGACGAGTGATACTTAGACGCGTCTTCTTCTAACACGAGAAGCAATCGGATGTTTGCCGGTACGCATCAGGGCCTTAACCAAGCCAACCGGAACCGCAGGCGGCAAGACGAAACCAAAAAAAGCGGCAGCAAAGGGAGAAGCGAACAACAGCTGTGCCGCTCAGGGCACAAATAATCACCTTAACACCTGCTGCAGCAACTGCTGCCTGGGCCAGGTCAACACGAGGGCACCTGAGCGGGCACAACTCACTGGTTTTGTCGCCGTCTCGCAAGGGCGAGGTCCTCGTGAAGGTATTTGCTGGTTTGGCGCAGCAAGCTCGGCGGCGGCATGTGCTGCAAATCCGTCCTCGACCTCCCAAACCGCACCTCGCCCAGCGGTCGCCCCGGGCCAACAGGGTCCAATACCCCCCCCTGCTGCTCCTGCTGCTCCTGCTCCCGCGGAGCCCCCCCCTGCTGCGAAGCCGGCGTGGTCTTCATCTCAATCACCGTTTCCCCGTTCGGCCCAACCCCAAGAACCTCGTTCCCTTCTCTCCCCCTCGACCCTTCCCCAGCGACAATGGCGACGTCGCTCCCCCCCCTAGCCCCCGCTCCGCCGCTCCCCTTGCGCCCTGGCGACCGCCCCCCGTCGCCCCCTGCTGCCAAGCTACCACCGCTGCCGTCGCCCCCAAACTCCACCCCTCCCCCCGGGCTTGGGCCACCGCCGGCGCCCCCTTCTTCTTGCACCAGGGGATTGGGCGAGGTCTTGTTGTCCCCGCCGTGCATTCCCGTCCTCGACAACGACGAAGGGGAGGAGGACGAGGAGGAAGAAGACATGAAGGACGACGCCGACGGTGCTCGCTCTTCGGGCGCGCTGCCAGCAACGAAAGCGTCGCTGCCGCCCTTCTCCTCGCCGCCGCTTTCGCCCACGAAGTACGACCCGACCGTCACGCGCGCCGACGTCGGGGTCTTCATGAAGTACACCGACGTGCCGTCGAGCGACTGTCGCGGCGGCCGCTCCTCTCGTCGGCTCCTACCACCGCCAGCATGGTCGACGCTGCGTGCCCTCGCCCTCCCCGCGCTGCGTGGCGGAACGGGGCTTCTTGGCCCCGGTCTGAAACCACCACCACCACCACCACCACCGCTGCGGGGGCTCGGCTCCGCGCGGCTGGACGAGCGCAAAAGCCTTCCTCGTGTTCGGGGAGTCTGGCCTCCGCCGTACCAACCCCCCGACCCTGCCCCCTTGGATGGTTTTCTCTCCAACCCCGGTGGAGTTGGTGAGACAAGCATCTCCAGAGCGGCTGCTGCTACTAGCCTACTACCGCTTCCCTCGGCAGACCGGTCACCGGCCACAACGCCGTTCCTGCCACCGCTACCACCTCTGTGGCCGTGATTGACGTAGTTCGCAACGCTTGGCGCCGCTGCTGTTGACGTTGCTGCTGCTGCTGCTGCTGCTGCTGCTGCTGCTCCAGCTCCTGTTGCTGCGCCCGCCTCTGTTCTTGCTCCAGCTTCCGCTTCCGTGTTGCTGCTGCTTCCGGCCGAGACACTATCAACCCCGTAACCCGCCCCGCGTTCCGGCTCGTGTACGCCATTCGCCGTCATGAGGGCATCTCCGTTCTCCTGTGGCAGCGAGCACAAAGCGCCAAGCGAAGGGAAACACATCGCGAGGGGAGGGTGAAAAACCCAGTCCGCGTGAATGGGAGAGATGAAGGTCCTTGTTCGAGACAACCCACGCTGTATGTAGCACCTCATGAAAGCTGTACAGCAAGCGGAACAATAAAAAGCAAAGAGAGGAGTCGGTAGAATATTAGCATTTCGTCCACAATAGTAGAGCGCCGGGAATGACGCATGGCAACTCCTGAACTACAAAAGCCTCGTACAGTTCGAAAACCCTTCTGATTCGCAAACACCCACTAAATTCTCGGCCAGTGGGACCGAATCGTGTTCTTCAGGCCGCCACCAGCATCGAAACACGAAGACATCAACAACAACAAGCTGCTACCGGTGGAAATCCGACGAGGCCAAACCAAAAGGCTCTGGTATGCATGGCTTGCCTTGGAGAAGTCCCCCTCTTCTGCCGTCGAAAGGTTCAACTCTTCCATACTGTGCTTCGGAGTCTTGCTCGAGCCAGAGCTCGGGCTGGTTAGCGCCCCATACGGCGCTGGCGGCGAACACGCGTCTAACGGCGCCGGTCGCGGAGCGTCGGCGTCCGACGATCCCGTGCCCAGCGGCTCCGGCAACATTGCCATCGCCGGTGAACGCTGGTCTTGGCAAGAGTCCTGCCTTCTCTCTGTCCAGCGAAAACTGGCGAATTGGCTTGACTGTGTTTGACAGCAGAGAAGGCTTGGCGGCGGCGCGCGCCCAGAGCTACTTCCAACCCTCCACCACCCCACTGCCTTCCATGCGTCACCACCCTCCGTTTCACCGCTGCAATTGCTTGCTGTGGCGGGAGCCTTGGCCCGAGGAGACACCGCACCGTGCTCTCTTGGTTGTGCTTGGTCGCGCCGCCCTGATACGCGGGGCCCGGCACTTCGTATTCTGTTCCCGGCTGTGGTGAGGAAAATGTTGCGCGCAAACCGCATGGCGTTCCGGGTAACAGGACGGTTGAGGGATTCGGGATACCATGTCTGGATAAAAAAAAGAGACACCTGTGCACGGGGGTCTGGGGTTGTTAATCTTCAAACCCTTGCGAGAGAGAAACAGCCACTGCCAACCGATGGTTTGCTCCGTCTCGTCCGCAAAGTCGTTGTGCTAGAGGGGCTCAATATGTACCTGTCGTGCAGTCAGGCCAAACGTATTGTTGCCTCACGAAAGGGCGCACAAGAAAAAGTTTTCCGACACCTAACCCCCCTCCAGGCGCTGAGGGGGGGGCGGGGGGGTACTCATAGTTGTGCATGCCGTAGTCGTTAGACCATTGACCTCGCATCCCTACAAAGCCGGGACGGAGCACGCCGGGTTCTCACCGGACCAGGCTCTCACATCACCAAGCGCGAAGCGCCGTGAGATATTCGGCGAGTCGCATGAAGCGTGCGCTGCATCCTGCTAAGGGTTTTCGGCATCTTGTGCTTACTTGCTTGCGTACGGATGACAACTGCGTATGACTCAATTTACTTTCTGGTGCTTTCACTTCCAGAGACAGTTGTAAGCACTGTGTAACTGCCTCGAGGGTGCTTGACCATTTTAACACAACGTGGTGCGATCATCCCCCTTGCGCGGAGTGAGGGTTCACCCCGCACAACATGATCTACTCGACCACCATTATGGTTACCGCCAAAAAAAAAACGGAGGTAAAAAAAAAACGGTAACCTGGTTGCCGAGTTCACGAAGTGAATTGGCTTGTTTTACAACGTCGTTGCCAAGCGACGAAAACCCAATCCCGATGGCAAACACCGGGGGGGGCGGCTTGTTGTACAACGTCGTTGCCAAGCGACGAAAACCCAACCCCGATGGCAAACACCGTGGGGGGCGGGGGGGGGGGGGGGGGGGGGGGGGGGGGGGGGGGGGGGGGGGGTTACAAAAGTCAAGCAAAAAAATGTTGAAAAAAATCATTCATTGAACTTTTGCTTGCAATTACGACACCACTGATTATCATTATATTTCGACCTCTGTAGGGATGAGGTGTCGTTTTCACTTTTCTGTATGCGCCCTTTGCCTCACACTCTCAAGTACTTGAACCGATCCCTATCCCATCACCTCTTGTGCACGAATAACAAGCGCCTAATAGGCCCCACCTTTTAAGCGGCGGCAACGACAGAGGACCGGCCTGAAATCGGCAACAACCTTTTGTGTCTCCTAAGGCTTTCCAGGCCTTGTTGTGAAATCTCGGGAGGTAATCTTGACGCAGGTTGCTGCGCCACCGTGAAGTTACCAAAGTTGCCTGACCACCAATCAGCCTTCGTGGGAGACATGAATCTGATTCAACTTTGTGGCCAGATTTCATTGTGATCTGCACAACGTGATTATCGGCCTTCAAAAGTCACCCACATATTTATTCGATCCATATTCACTTTTTTCACGCCCATTGATCTAGACTACCCTCAAACATGTCAACACCAAATGAGTCCACCTCCGAACATCGAAAATCAGAAATATGGCCACTTCACCGAGTGCTGGGCATTGTTCCACCCTCGCATGCTAATAGAGTAACCCAAATCAGCCAGCACGTGGCGAGTACACAGCGCGAATATGCTACTGCTGTACCAAGAACGATAAATATATTGGCTGGATGTTGGCGAGTATCCAATGTACCCTGCTCTTCAGAGAAACGCGTGTTTCCAACCTAATTAATACCCACATACCCACCAGGTTACGGATGCCATACGATGCTACAATTAGAAGTTACCCAGAGTGGATTCTGGGGGGATACGTATATTTCTCTTTTCAGGAAAAATATGGAATCGATGTGTTATACTGAGAAGATAACGAAAGATTTCCCTGGGGAGGGAGGGCAGCAGCAAACAAGACACGCGTACATTGCGTACTACAGCAGGGAGCACGCTGCCAGTTGGTGTGCAAAAGAAGGAAGGACCTGAAAAAACGCTGGGTCAAATTATGCGCATCTCTGCGGCCCTAACACCTAGCCACGGAGAGACCCGGGAATGCAGAGAACCGCTTTCGCGCGGGATGTTTGTGGGGGCGAGAGTGGCGGCAAGATGGCATCGTCAACTAAACTGCAGCAATCGCCAATCGCCCCGCACCGTCGGCTTCATTACCCGCCACGGGCCACGGGCCGCAGCGGTAGTTGGACGCCCTGCCAGTCAGGACAGAGAGCAATACATCGTGTTCTGTGCAAGCACCCGATATGACGAGGAAGGTGTCCACATGCGCTTATTGTCTACTCTGTCGATGCTGTCAAGTCTTGTCGAAGGGCACAGAGACAGCAGGGCGATAGCAGAGGAAGCATGACGGCACTTCGCAGAAGCGCGCAGTGCCTTGCTGCCGCGGTCTGCATAAATTAACGAGGCACCTGTGCTTGTTTCCGGAAACCGCGAGGGATTGCGAGCAGCGTTCGGTTGGCAGTGTGGCAAAAGCACACCACGTTCAGAGGCCATGGGCGTCGAATTTTGCCCTGTCCGTCGTTCACGCTTGCGGTATAGCCCTGTAGTGTAGAAAGTAGAGACACACCCACACACGCTGAACATAAACAACACCGCACACACCTACCTTTTGTGCTTCCAGGACGACGGACGTACAATAGTGAAAGGTTGCTTCCATCCACGCCTTCATCACATGTTACAGCGGAAAGGGGCGACACTTGGTTATGAATGCTTGCGGGCAAAAAAAAATGGAAACCGTGCCCTCACCTAGGGACCTTCTACCGAGAACCACTCCAGCTGAAACCTCGGTGCTGTATGCCTGCTCTGCTGCTGGCTGGTGCTATGCATAGCACGTCAGTTTGTGTTGGCCGCTCTCTGGTGCCACTTGAGGTATGCATAAAAATATTTTAGCTTATCACGGAACCCCCCCCACAGCCCCACAGAGCTGCTCAAACTGCAAATACCTGGGACATTAGAAAGAAAGGGAGGTCAGCAGTAGAACAGGGGACCCGAAGAAACATCGGATTGGACAATGGCAACTTCCCTGCAGGCCATGGGGGCAATAGGGCTGTGCCTTTCGCTCTACGCTGGTGAGCAGAGACGGAGGTTATTTCTATGAGTCAGGGATATGCCGAGAGGAGCAAACCCAGCAGCAGCAAACCGGGGCCTTTCTCTGACCAGCGCCAAACGACCACTTTCCCTGCCTCGCCATGCTGCTGGGTACGCCTCTCGCAGTGTACGTGGAGCACAAGAATGAGGAGGACTCTTCCTATGAGGCGATGTGCGATGTCAGCGAGCGGATGTCCTGCTCGAAGGTGCAACACAGCTGTCGTTCAAAGCGTGGTGTTGTTTTTGTTGTGAGAATCTACCCAGAGACCTGTCGGCACAACAAACAGTCGTGTGCTGCACGACCCACGGAAAGATATCTACCCCCATAGAGATTCTCTCTGTGGAAGGGGTAGAACGGCTGGGGTCAATGCTGTGTACTTTCAATGGCCAGCTGTACAGCAGTTTTTCCGCGTACATCGGGCATATAAACATGTTTCGAGAACAAAGGATATCGCTGAATCCAATATCATGTCGTCTACCGGACTTGCCGTTTGGCGACATGATCCGACCTTCGACATGTACCATGAAGTGATGGTGCACTGATGTTGATGTTTCCGACGGGTAATTGAGCATGCCCCTCCTGTAAGGAAACCGCCACTCGTCATGTTTGCGGGTACATCCGCAAAGACGATCGGCATTGCCCGGCATGCAGAGCGACAATGGTAAGTCTGTACTACAGTAGTCCCCGCTTTAAAGACACCATTTTCAAAGACAGTCCCCGCTTTAAGGACACAAAAAATCTCAGAAACATGGTGCCCCGCAGATGTGAAAAAGTAGGGGGGGTAGGGTTTTCCACCATTCGACCCCCCCCAGAAAATGTGCTGCAGCACCTGTAGATCCTGGATCATCAACAGCGGTCTGCTGCAGCCGCACACTGCGTGTGGGTGTATGGAAAGATTCATTCCATCTGCTAGCGGTTCGTCTGCTGCCGGCTTGAAGCCATGCGGCGAACCGACGTGCCAGTTCAAATCTGCACTGGTGTCACTGGTTCATCAGTGTCCGTGCGGGCGACCCATGCACGCGTTTTGTGGTCGGGGCATCGGAGAGTAAAGCACTTTCACTGCAATAGTTCGTTGTTTGCCTTTGGTGAAGTCTCGTTAGGTTGAGTTTGGCGTTTGTGTTGTGTGTTGTGCCTCGTTTTGACCATTTGGGAGGCGCGGTGTCCTCTTTGTCGCTGTGCTTTCCTGACATTTCTGGTCTCTGTGTTTCTGCGTAATCTATATTTTCCTAGTGTCGTTTTACAACCTTCGATATTTCTCAGGTGCGGTAGCGAGATCTTGGGCAAGATATTCACGGGGAGGACAACGCCTAGAAAATAAAACAAAGCAAATAATCAAACCCATATCAACACCAGCGCACTACCGTCGTGTACATGTACGATGCGTAGGTCGTAGAACACCATCGCTTTCAGCGTTTTGGTGGTACAGTACGGGGAAATTGAAACGATATGCAAGTATGTATTGCAGCACAATAGCAGCAGTGGTTGCGACCTTCAAATCACCTTATGTCGTAGGTTTCAAACAACACCTCTTGTGGTCGCCTTTCTGCTGCGAATGCGCACCTTTTGACATATGTTTCGCCTTCATTGGCCCCGGGGATGGTGCGTTAGTGGCCCCGGAATTCTAAAGACACTTCCCCGCGTTAAAGACACTTTTGGGGGGGGGAAACGTGATGTGTCCTTAAAGCGGGGTCGACTGTACCATCATGGAGCTGGCTGGTACCAGCTGCAAGCACATCACTGCATAGTACGAAATGTACTCTGATCACTTTTAGACTATGCAGTTTGCTTCCCGTCGGATAACGACCGGCTTATACTGGAACTGTTGAAGGGCGGGGTCTGTCGAAATGTGATTCAATGCTCCCAGCATGTCTGTATCGACGGGCGCGTTGTTCGTTGCAATCACGCCGGGGTCTGGAGCCACATCCGAATGGATGCCTACAGTATGTACGTAGCTTTATGGCACTTGGGTTGATGTGTGCATGTGAGGTGAACAACGTATGTGTGAAAAATCCACGAGTACTTTCAACGCTAGCCATGCGCAACCAAGGTGAGCAGCCGCCCTCGATAGCGTGTTTGTGCTCTCTCTCTCTCTCTCTCTCTCTCTCTCTCTCTCT